TAGCCGTGCCACTTTGGTTGAAATTGTCAGTGTCAGCCTTGTTGTCAATGTTGATGAACCCTTGAATAATGAATTTTAATTGGCCGGCTCTATTTCTCCAAACGTTCGGGAAAATAAACTTGAACTCTATTTCTCCTAACAGTTTCCGTTCTTGAGATGTGTTGATAATAAGCGAATGGAGTGGCCCGTGTGTGTGTAAGGTGTGAACGAGGGGGGTGGGGGAGGGGCGTAGAGGGATTTTCTTTTTTTGTCGTTATTCTCACCCAGAGTGAAAATAAAAATATAATTTTATTCTCACCCCGAATATCCATTTCTATAGAAAGTGGCTATCCTCACCCGGGGTGAGAATAAAACTACGATAGACCTCTCACCCCAGGTGAGACTTGCCACCGCTGGCTATTCTCACCTGGGGTGAAACAAGGCCTGTTTTTCCTAATTTCAGAATCTATCGGTGTGGATGATCAAATTGACAAAAGCAGAGAAAAAATGACATTTTATAGCACAAAAGTAAGCTAATTTGGTCTTCAAAAAGTGAAATAGCCATAGCATCTTTGTAGACCTCCAAATTGGTTTAATTTTGTGCTATAACATTATTTTTCCTTTGTTTTTGTCAATTTGATCATCCTCATCGATGACAGTATTCAGAAATTATGAAAAACTGGTCTTGTTTCACACCAGGTGAGAACCAACACTGGCAGTCTCACCCGGGGTGAGAGGTTGATTGTATTTTTATTCTCACGCGGGGTGAGAATAGACACTTCCATTTTCCTAGATTCTAGTCTAGATCTAGAGATTTTTATTATAATTAATTTAAATCTATAAAATATTTTAAACTAAAATGAGTTAGCCAGAGTTAGCCTTTGACGTGAAATATGATAATTCTATGTCATGTCGGGATAATCTGGTTTTGGTCCCAACAAAAAGTCTTTAGAGTGTGGGTTTTGGCTTCGGGTGTGACTATTCGAACATGGACACATTCCTGTGAAGCGTCAGCCCTGGCCTCCCCAAGGGTAATTTCCGGCATAGGTGAGATTGGTTTTCAGGACCCTCCAATGCTGATTGCATATTTCCCGGTCACAGCAATTTTATGCAAACTGCAAAGATACATTGGTCCAAAAATAAAGAGAAGCATGTCATTTAAGTCCCACAATGTACAGTGGGCCTACTCACATTCATGCTAGCAGGGATCACAGTTTTCCGCGGATCTGCGATTTTCCACGGTTGCGAGAACTTTCTAAATTCTCGGTCTTAATCGCGCCGGCGGTCGTTCCACTTTGGCTGTAAGTCAGCCCCAAGACAGGCGACAAACTGAGAATTCCCTCCGGGCACCTTGACAAGAGGCTTCATTTTAAGTATCTTATTGACTTTGATACCCTTTTATGAAATTCTTTGGAACCCCATGGATTATTTATGTACCTGCCAAAGCCAAAATCAGGCAGCTATTGAAACTTAAGCCAGAAGCTTATGAGATCAAAGTCAAAGTCAATCAAGCACATGAGCAAAGTTAGTGAAATGTGCCTATATTTTGGTTCGTTTTACAAAAA